CCTTATTAGCTGGTCCCACCACTTGTCCGCCTCAGAATGAGGGGCGCACTAATGAAGGGGGCACAAAGAAGGACCGCCGTGTAGTAAGCGTGAAAGCTACCTTCGAAATTTGGCTCTAGATACTTTGATCGTTAAGGGGCGTTCATACTTCAACAATCTCGCTCACGCGATTCGCGAAGCATGAATGCGCTCCTTCATTTTCAGTACAAGTAAGCGCGCCACTGGAAATACTTTACATATCTTGCAGGTGTGCATTAAAATCGAAAATACTACTGGTGAGGCGCCAAAATTGTACGGACGGCATTTCACCCACGAAGACATACTTGTTAGTAGGGTAAGTAGAGCAGTTATACGATGCCAAAATGTTTGCTCCTTTCTTTATTATTTGTTTTTTCTTTATTATTTCGGTTCGCGGAAAGGCATACAGCTTCGTTCGCTGCTTATGCTGGGGCGTGTTAGAAGGCTGAGTTTAGCTTGGCGCCAAACTGTTCTCCAGCAATTGTTGAAGGGAACGAGAAGCGAAAGTTGAAGTGTGAAGAGGAGGGGATGGCCCTGAAGCTAGATATTTCATACTTCAATCCAGACGACATAAGACGTTGATGCGAAGGAACTGGGTGCCTGAATGAAGATTCTCGTTCACCGTCCAGGATCGCGAGGTGGGCGGAGCGAGGAAGCTGTATCATTGGTGCGATCCCTCTGTACTCACCTTCGTCTCCGCATCACCACCATAGAAGGCAGAGAGGAGGGGAGGGGGCACCAATGGCGTTGTCGTTTTCGTTTTCTGGCCCCGCCCACTCTGCAGTCCCGGACGGCGTCTTCAACCTTCTGACAGCAGGGCACGCCATCGCGTTGTGATCATTTCCTGAAAAATGCGACCATCCTAATTCTACCCTCAATATACGACCCCCTCCCCATGCTACCTACCACTTTCCTAGATTAACTTCCTACCACTATTTCCATTTTCTCCAGAAAAATTTCCAGTTTTCCGCCAAAATTTCCCTTAGTATTCAGCTATCGTTTTCAACTTTAAAACTGGGAAATAGTAGTTGTATAGATCTTTGGCAGTCCCTCTCTCAACAACGGCCAAATACGACCCCCCCCCCTTTATACCGTCCGTGAAACAAGAGAAATCAACTACCAAAAAAATTTTCTCAGACCAAATACGACCCCCTCCCTCACGGTCAAATACGA